ATAGGCTTTCCCCTAGAGTGATAATTTTTTATAAGGTGGTATATATTTTTTGGGAGATTCTACGGTCTCATTATGGAACCATTCCGTCGAGATTTGTAACCGTTAGATCAACTATCCACGACGGTTACATATTGATATAACGATTACAAATCCTGACGGAATGATTCCATAACGGGATTGTAGCATTTCCCGTATTTTTTGTAAAGACATGTCTAAGCCTTAGCGTATATTGATTTGCAAAAATTGAAAGCTCGTAAACAAGAGAGCAAACACATGGACCATAAAACAATGACAGGAATCTGTTGAGAACAAACAAATAGCAAACCTCTGTACATCTACTTGACTCTTAACAAGAAACCAATAAGATAAAACACAGCTGCATAAAGTGAAAAAAAAATAAAAAAAAATGGAAGCTATATATACATGGACAATGCTCAACATATACAAAGCTGCAACCAGCTCGTAAGGTAAATTTTGCCGAAGCCCCCCGACTCAGACACCGCTCAGAGATCTGCTAAATGTGCTCAAAACAATAAAGCACCGAAACCAAAAATTAAGAGAATAGGTCCGAGTCTCATCCCACCTCCACAGCAGCCTAGATTGTACGAGATAAATCAATCGTAAGTTTAAGCAAAGCTAAATATGAATTCATAGGTAATTGTAATATCCGGCCGGTAAGTAAGAGCCCAGGAATAGAGAAAATCAAAATTGTAGGGATAAAAAAAACATTATAAGATGAAAGATTGTAATCTCTAGTCATTGTCTGGTTTATAGTGTCCAGCCTCACTGATTATGGAGCCCGTGGTTACTAAGTAGAAAAAGGGATTTAGGATATAACTGCAAAATATTAACATTAATGCTAGAATAGAGTACTCACCAGGGTTGCCTAGATTCCGAGATGTAGGTAGTGCGGGCAAGGACATCTCTGAATATATTCACATAAAATTATTACGAAAAGTTCCTCGAAACTACTAAAAAGTTAAAATAAAATAGGGAATAAAGGGCATTTGTAATACCAGGTGCACAAAGAGACATTGATGTCATGGAGGATGATAATGGCCATGGAGCTTCAATATTGTCCGTCAAATCACAGTGAAAGCTGAAGCCTGATGAATTATCATAAACCATATCCGCAGGGAGGCTAGGGAGTAAACAACCTGCATAAGTAGGTTCAAAAAGGTTCACCATATTATGTGTTACGCAATTATTCAGAAGTACTAATCAAGCCAAAGCCATTTAGAATTCATTGTGACATCAAAAAAATGCAGCCACTGTCTATTTCAGGAGCCGGACAATGAACACAGAAAATCACGAAACAGACAAGATTAATGGTAAATTGCATCACTAGGTTATAAGTATGAGATTATGTTGACAATGTAAAACATTGATTTAATATAACTATGCACCAGCTAACATAATTTATCCGAGGTGGAAGATACAAATTTGTGCCCTGATCCAAATTTAATTGTTTTGGAAGTTATTGGTGATCTAATTGAACAACGTTAATAGTGTCATTGTGTTGCCAATATTGCCACATATTATTTGATGTTAACGAAGGTTTTGTACAGAGAAAATTTCTGTTGGTTAACTGCACATAACTTAGTAACATCGATCAAAATGTGTGATGCAGCCACATCATACCCTTAATGTAACATATTCTAACATACTGAGTTTTTAAGGAAAAATAAATTATTATAACAAGGTGAGCTCCAATTTATTGTGTCTCACTTGAACAGAAATCGAAGTAGGAACATCTCGGGCATCGAGTAAAATATAACACAATTGACTAGCGTTACGCACCTTCTTGTCCATATGCTGCTCCAGCAAGTATCAAAGGACACAACAATAGGTAAAGTTGATCAGAAGAACACCAAAAATTGACAAATAGGAGATCAAATAGAACCAGATATTTTACCTTGGAGACTAAAATCTTTTATGTCCACATCACAAAGCTCATAAATATTTGCCATCACACCACCCTTCCTCAACATATGGCCCAACATGGTCGCGCATAATATTGCTTGCCGATTTGTTATGAGCATTTGCTTCTGTATACCGGTTATGTAACTATTTAGGGATCTACAACACGAAGGACTAGGGGCAGCAACATTGAGGCATTCTGCAATTACTTCTGATGGTTGTCTTAACTCCAATGGACAAGCTGCACCCATAGGAGATAATTTTCAGAGGTTACAGCAAAAAATAAAAATTGGAAGATGAAATATATAAAAGTGGCTGATGCTCGTGAACAGAAAACTTACAAGGCACCTTCACTCAATTTTATATTGTCTTTATACAAGTTAGGTTACATAATGTTTACAAAATGCATGTGGCAAGCTTTCCAGGTGCATGTGCGTATGAAGAAATAATTACTACCCATTAAAGCACCCATACCTCTAATATAGCATTAAATGAATATGAAGGAATTTTATGAATGACACATTCTTTTGGATAAACAATTAGAACACAATAATCTGGGGCCAAATGAAATCAATTATGGAGATCGAATTAATTTGGATTCATTTGTTGATTTCATGTAACAGCCAAATTTGATTTTCTTCCTTTTGGAATTAATTTATATTTTAGGCTATCAACGAATTGGTCTCTTCCCTTTCATTAATAAGATGAGCAATAATTGCGAAAAAATGAGAAGAAGGAAAATTAAGCTGCATTACCAATTTGTGCATTTTATTCTCAAAACACATACATCCATCTTCACCAAGGCATGGATAACGTAAAATTCATTCTATAACAACTTCAATAGCCATTTGATGTGAGCCTTTTCAAAAGAACATCACAATTAACAATAAAGACGGGAGTCATGCAATTCATTCTAAAATGTACTCATGCCATTTGCTAAACTAGTTCACCCTTCCCGCTATTACATAAGAGATTAGATGAGTGTAACAAAGTTTCATTAATAACTTGACACCACGAAACATACAAATCTGGACACAAGCAAGTCACAGACCATATAAAATTTACAGTCAGTTCTGTTAAGGATGTCTCAGAAAAGCAGCCAAGAAAAAAAATGTCAAGGCACACAGAATAAAACGTATAATCATGTTAACACATATGATAGGCAGTTCTTGCAAATATACTTAATATCTACATCATATATATGTGTGCGTGTACATGTAATACTAATAAACATTAATTATGTGAATTTCTATGTTAACATATTAAAACGTAAAAGTATAACTCCAAACGATAACTAAATCAACCGGCATGCTTGAATTTTTCTAGCAAGATTTCCTTTGTTTCACTTCATGAAAATTGAAATGCAATAGATCAATAGATGTGATTATGTGAATAAAGGCATTAATCCAAAAGCCATTAGGTATAGGGTCTTCTATGTACAAGACCCAAAAATAGCTTAGTCTCAAATTCAATGTAAACACACCTTTATTAACTTTGCAGGCAGACAATATCCGGAATGCACTGTTTGCGGAATCACGAGGAAGTTTCCTTGAAATCCATGAAAAGACCACCCCTTTGCAATCATTAACCAAATCGAAGGGATTAGACAGCCCAACTGCATTCTTATTATCATCCATATATGATCGGACTCCTGATAAATTAAGTGCAGCTTCCATAACAACAGGATTGCAAATTGGTCGACAACATTCTTTAAGAGGATCAATTGTACTGCAAGCATCCAATAATTTGCTTGTATTAACCGTTCTCTCAAAAGTGGCTACATCCTTCACAGGACATGAGCCGCCAGTCAGATTTGAAGATCTAATGGAGCATATGGTTGATATTGAGCTGTTTGCACCTCTGCTAGCTAATATACTGACAATATCTTTAAAGCAATCATCTGCAGCTGCATTTTGTAAAACTAAATTATCGGAATTGGTACTATAGAATCCCTTGAATATGTGGAGCAAGCTACTAAGTTGTGGGCAACATATAACATTTGCAACTACTCCTGCAAACGGCTGGGTGCAGTCGGATGCCGTTTTTTCCATGACACTTGAAATGACCGAAAAGTTTACAGGGCATCGTCCAGTCAAAATGGGCTCATAAGTACTAGGATAGGTTGGGTACATTGGAGGCAAGTCGGCACTTGGAAGTGGAGTACGTGGGATAACAGCCGGTGATATTTGAATGGGTTCAAAAGTTCCACTTCCTGGTGAACTAGTTAGCATAAACGCTGACGGAATGTGACTGGGATCAGATTGTATCGGCAGAGGCATCACATTCTCAAAGCTATACATCCAGATAGTAAATTGTACTAAGCAATGAAACCAAGAGCCTGCAGTTTTATAAATCTCGGATTAATTAAATAATCAGAACATGGTAATTGAATAAGCGTGTAACACTTTAAGATGTTTGTACCATGTAAGTATAGCACAAAATGAATATCAAAGAATTGCACAAACACTATTGGACAGAAAATCCATATATGACATAATGAGGGAAATCAAGAAACATAAAAAAACTATGTTAGCATTAACAAACAGCAAGCAAGCTTTAAAATTTCGGGGTGGAGTGAAGGGAAGGGATCTCTAACCCTTGAGCCAAGTAGTAGTTCTTCCGCAATCCATAACGCCCACTAGCCGTCAGGCAACATGGAGACTTGTTATACAACCCAAAGGGTGATCAACAGCTAGAATCTGGAGGTAGTGAACTCAGTAAGCTAATACATGGATTCCCTTTTTTAGTATAAAAATAAATACAATTAACAATATAATAGGATGCAGATAGTAGAAAACAGATGAGAATTTGGAAACAAAACAATCCTTATGTCCAAGATTTTCCATATCAAGAACAAAGTTACACAATGTCTGCTCCTATTCTTGCTTCTACAATAGCTATAACACCATTTTCTACATTGCTACCCTATCAAATTTAACAGACTAGCAATCAACTAATTACAAAACCATATCAAAGATGGAAAAACATTATCCTCTCGAGTTTCGGCACTCTATCTCTTTCTCTAACTAAACTTTACCCAAACAAATACGCACAACTATACAGTCTAATTCTAAGTCTCAATTAGCTTCTAAATAAATTTACACCGATCCCTAATCATCTAAACATAGACCTCGCATCAACTATCTAAAATTCATTAAGCAAGTTCAAAATCGAGGTAAAAGAAATTAGCTTCCTGTCCAACTATCTGTAATCCCCCGTTACCCCCATGTTTGCCCAGCAAAATCAGGACCAATAACAACCCAAAATAAGAAAATGTCAGTACAGTACCCACATTAGACAACAAAAACAAAAACAGAAACAAGGTGTGGCTTGAATGCTCAGTGAGATCAAACCCTAAACGCTGAGTATAATGATTGACCACCAACTACAAATAGCGACGAGTAACTCAATGCATACGCACACAGAAATAACCAGAGCAGCTTGTCTTGCGCGAGCCCGGTGAAAATAGAAATGGGTTTAGAACGGTACCTGGGGACTGCAAACCCAGACAAATACCGAGATCACTTGCCATTAGTGAAAGCAAATTCAGAGCTCAAAACAATTAGTAACGAGGTCCATGTAGAATTTAGCTGGATGGGATTCTGATATTGAGTGGTAAAAAGGAGAAGAAAAAAACAAGAAACCCTAAAAGGAAGGTTTGGGAAAGTTGAAGCTGAATGATTATGGGGATAAAGTGTGAGAGAACTGGAGCTCTGCCTTTTGGCCATTTGCTCTACTAACTCTGTTATTTTTCCCTTACCTTTT